GACAGATTTTTCCAGCAATTTTTAGTAAATGGCCAGTAAGATCTCCAGATTTAATTCCCACTAGACTTCTTTCTATAAATTTATTTAAAAACAAGATTTAGAATGATATTTCTGCTTCATTGGAACAACTAAAACGGCAAAAATATTGAATGTAGTCCAGCAATCTCTGAAATACTTCAATGTACGTGGTAATTTTAAGCAGTGACGTTGTAATTGTATAAACGTTGGTGTAAATCATCTTAAATATTTGATTAAATAATTTTAGTTGATGAGTAACCTGTTTTGAATTCTAAATTTATTAATTTAATATTTAGTTCGTTTCATTTACGTTTATTTAATAAAGTTCTCTATTATTGTTTCATCTTAATGTAATTTTTGAGGTAATAGAAAAAATTTTAAATTTACATTAGCGAAACATAGGCGTTACGTTTAGTTTTTAGAAGGAGTAACAATTTCAATAGACTGCTACTTTTCTGCAAGAATAGAGAAAATATGGGGAGAAATCAGGGATGCTTGAATTCTCCAGCGAAATACCTGTCGAATGGCATGCCAAACATGACCTATTCCCTATTTAAAATTAAAGGTTTGTGGGACTGTAAGGGAAGAGGTTGATAAATGACTATATCGTTTCAATATTATTCTTAATACGTTTTCATGTACGTTTTGTGGGTCATATAAAACGTACGACAAAATGTATGTTTTGTCCAGTGTGTACACACAACACTTTCCCTTCCGTTTTTTACCTCATTTCTAATTCAGAGTCTTGAGTTGTGTGAAGTTTATTAGTGATTTTTTTTATTACGCAGGAAACACGTCCGCTTCTTTTATTTTTTCAACAATAATGATAGTACGAATGAGGAAAAAGGGTATGCAGAGGGAAAAGACAAGATGGTCAAGAGAGTGGCTTCTGAAAAGAAGCCAGTATTTCCATGTTTCGTTACTAAAAGGACTGAGAGAAAAACCAGATGACTGGCGCAATTAGTTGCGAATGGACACCTGTCTATTGTCAATTGCTAGAGTTGGTAACACCATACATATTGAAACTAGACACCTGAAAAGACCTTATACCCCATGAAAGACTTACATCAACTCTCAGATATCTTGCAACAGGATGCAGCCTCAAGGACTTGGAGTTCACAACCATAATATCCAAACCAGCGTTAAGCCCAATAATTCCTGAAACCTGCAATGTTATAATATATATGCGAAATTGCCTTATAATTGCCTTATAATTGCCTTTTAGCGAAAGCCGCTATCGCTTTATTATATTAAAAGGCCAAATATATGGCCTAGGAGACAAATTCGTTAAACTTCCCGTGCTCGAATCGGTATCACTAAAGTGTTATGATCATTTCGGCCTATCCCAGCCATCGTCAGACACTTGGGCTGATACAAATTCAAACTCGGAAAGTAAAACGAATGTCTCCCAGAACTTTACTACTGCGTAGTTATAGTTATGATATATTAAATATATATATATATATATATTATATATATATATATATATAATATATTATATATATATATATATATATATATATATATATATATTGGATTTAAAACTTCCGCGGGAGCTATAAGTATTTCAGTTGTTTTCCGGGTTTGACTCCGCGTTAAGTAATTTTGGTTTTTAGAAAAACCATTGTTTTGACGACATTTCGGCAAGGTCACACTTGCCATTGTCAAGTCAGATTAGTTCTGCTTCGTCTTGATGTTTCAGGAGAACTCAGGAGTTCTAAAACTTTTTCTAAAAACCAAAATTACTTAACGCGGAGTCAAACCCGGAAAACAACTGAAATCATATATATATATATATATATATATATATATATATATATATATATATATATATATATATATATAATTAAGGATTCTACAGTATTCACTGTCTTCCCTCTTTCAACCGTTTCCATCTTTCTCTGCTGTCAAATTCTCCATCGGTAAGGCCTCTCTTACTCATGGCGTCGTCTACTTCGTTCCTGCAGGATCTTCGGGGTCGTCCTCTTTTCCTCCTTCCTATGGGGCTCCATTCGGTTATTCTCTTTATCCATCTGCTGTCGATAGTTCTTCTTACATGTCCATAGCACTTTAGTCTATACCACTATGCAATCTACTTGGTTTTAAAACAGAACTAGTTAAAAGTAAGTACATCATAAAAGAAAGCCGTGGGTGCATTGCCGCAAATCTGACATTATTAAGCTTTTTTTGGAAAAAATGAAGCGAACTTCAGTGGAGCTAGTCGTCAACTGAGTCAAGATCGGACGACTTGTCTGAACATGAATGTTTACGTAACGTTTTATCTTATCAGTTCTCGCAAAACAATGCTTCTCCCATCATTGCTGCGATCTGATCTTTTATTTTATTTCGATTCAAAAAGACGTACGTTTTGCTGTTTACATGCCACGTTTTAATGTATAGGATTTGTCCTATCCAACAAAACGTACAATAAGATTTAGCGTGAAAACCGGCCTTTATAATTAAAATCAGCCCGTTTTAGAATTTTCTTAAACTCCAATGAATGATAACAAATATCGGAGACACTCTTTTGAGTGGTCAACCCTATATAATCTTTTAAAATTTTGTTACATTGTTTTTTGAAAACGATTTTCCGTCCGAAAGTTTTAATGTCAAAAACAAAAGAAAAACATATTATTTTAATTTTAATCATTGTGGTATATACTAAAAAATATAAAATAATTCACATAAAGCTACACTACAAACGGAAAGAAGGGCATGTCAGCATCTTAAGTACTTTTTGATAACAGCAACAATAATAAAATTTTATATTTCTACAATTTACATGAATATAACTGTTTAGTATGATTCTATAGCAAATATGTGTGTAATTCAAAGCTATTTCATAGTTAGACACCCGTCGACAAACAAGTTTATAATATATCTTTTCCAAACTTTGGGTATGACTTTATTTGGCCTTGTTTTTGGCCTGGCACATGACAATCTGAGCCTTATAATATGAAAAGTTGTTTTTACTGTTAATAATCAATGCATCTCTTACGCTGAGCTATTTTTCAATTCTATGGAAAGTGGCCAGCACTGTCATGATTTCCAAACGAAGGAAAACCCTCACCAACCCTAAATCGTACAGACCTATGTATTTCTTTGCTGAGTACGCTAGGTAAAGTCTACGGGAGGATCCTTCAGGTTAGACTCGTAGAATTTCTAGAGTACCAATTCGGATTCAGGGCTGAACACTACATGCAAAATGCATTGGTTGAAGTAACAATTTTCATTTCACAATTACTTAGTGAAAGAAAGCACGTCATAGGCATATTTCTAGACGTCCAGAAGGCATTTGGTCAGGTGTGGTATACATGCCTAGTCGAAAAACTCCACCCCTCTTTTATCGGACGATCAGGATTAAAGAAGACGATATCTTATTTAAACTTTTCACTATACAAGCTGAAATATCTCAGGGCTTAATTCTTGCTCCAATACTATACACAGTCTACAACAATGACATCCCCCGCCCACAGAATAGATCGGAGACTCATCTACTGTACGCTTATGACACTGAACTCCTCACGACAGTATCACATAGAGACCGTGAACAATTGTCTGTATTCTAAAGAGCAAAAAAATTTTCTAGACAGAGTCATTAGGTGGTGCTATAAATGAAGGGTGAACATAAATCCCTTTAAATCACAATAAATTTTATTTAAATCTTCAAACTGTTGCAATGTGAAGCCGAATAACTTTGTTAGGAGAGGACCGTATTCTAATAAACTCGATTTTCTATTTGGGTGTTCATTTTACTAGGACTCTCAACTGGAAAACCGACATTTAAGATACCCTTGACAGGGTGAGAAGGAGGTTTAAACTCCTGACAGTGCTTGCAGGAAAATTGGGCAAGACGTCATCTAAAACATTATTGCACACCTAGAAAACATTCATTAGACCTATCATCGAATACAATGCATGCATCTACGACTCTCTTCTTTCAAAGGTTGGCAATCCAAATGGCAATTGTAGTTTTGGAAACTGCTGCGCGAAAGATTTCGGTGGATGAATGGTTGAACCATCTCAGGTCTTTCAGCCATGAGTTCTGGCGTCTTCATACTGATTTTTTGCCTTTTACTTTTCCTTCCAGTATAACTTAAAGTAATTTACATCTTTCGCCTCTCAACCCATGACCTAAGTATTGGGTCCTCCCTTATACGAAATTAATTCCATCATAGCTACCGAAAAAAAAATCACCAAATTCTGCATGAGGCAGTGCAGTTACCCCTTACTTAAAGAGGCGTAAAGCCTAAACAAGGTTAAAACTCTGGATCCAAATTAGGATAGTATCTGTTGTTTTTAATGACAATATCCTGAAAAAATTAGCTGGTTATCTAGGAATTTAGTCACAGTACTTTTTTCGACATGTTCGAGCCGTCAGACACCTTGAATGTCCTGTACCTATTATCAGACAATTATATTTTCGTCTTTTTCTTATAATTTTTAAGCTATTTAATTAAAAGAATGTATTGTCCTGTCTGATGGGTAAAAATTTTCGGAAAAATTAAAGAAAAAACGCCCAGAACCATAAAAAGTCGAAAAGGGAAATCGTGACAGACTCGGCCTAATGAAGCGATACCCAAAGTTTGGAAAGCATGTATCATAATTTTTGTGCCGACAGGCACTCTAACTACTTGATTTACTGAAAAAATTTTAAAGTCCAAACAAAAAGTTGTGTCCTAAGAACTCAACGTGAAAGTTGCATAAATCTGGACTGTGGGAAAGGGCGTTGTCCCTTTCATTTGGATTTAAATGAACAACATTTTTAACAATCAGTTTTATTTTAATTCTGTATTCCTTGTTTAGATAAAAATATGGTGAAATAAATCTCATTGTATGAAAATGCACTCTTAACATTTATATTTTAAAGCTTACAGCAAATGACATAGTTTTTCTGAATCATTGAATAAATAAACACAATCAAGAGACAAAATAAATGTTTTAATTTAAAAATTTATTAATAAATTTATTTTATTTTCTAGCAACACAACCCTGGCGCCCAAATAACACCAATCATAATACATGTAAGTATACTCATTAATAGATAATAATGCACTTATAGTTGTTGTGTTATAATTTTTTTATGCTCACTCATATATTAAGACTGATCTTCTCTCGAAGCCTTCCACATTGCTGTGTAGATTTTGTTAACCACCGCTCAAAATAGCTATTCTCCATCCACGAATTTTTCCTTGTTTATATTATTATAAAATATTAATATTATATTATTATTCCATTATCAAATATATATAGAATTATAAAATAGAGTTTTTAAAACTATAAAAGAATTCAAACACGACCTTCAATCAGGTGGGCCAACGACGTCAGTAGCGGGAAACTGACTATAAGCGGCCTAGTATAGAGAACACTGGAAAGAACTTAGAAAGGTCTATGTCCAGCACTGGACGTAATTGGCAGATTGATGGTGATAATAATGATGAGGATGATTTAGAAATCTTTTTATATGCTAAAATAGCAAGTTGATAAATCTTATAAATAACAGTTAATTAAGTCCAACGTTATGCCTCGCTTGAATCTTCGTATTTTATGGCTTCTTACAAAAACTTTTTAGCTAGCATATTGGGATGCCCTGTTACATGTTTCCGATATCTCTCACAAATTCTAAAAATCACTTTATTTTAATGAAATAATTGAAATATCACACTGAATAACTTTATTTCATACATAATTCATCATCATCAACTAGCCTCTAACGTCCACTGCTGAACATAGGCCTCTCGCAAGCTTTTCCACTTAGTCCGATTTTGCGCCATCTGAACCCATACATAATTGATTGCATTGATTACGGTACCAACCTTAAAGGCAGATAAGACAGAAACATTGGTAAAAATTTGGTATGGAAAACAGGAACTTTACTTTAAAGTTTAAAGCTGGAAACAAATTTATTCCAAGTAAACCCCTTCTTCTATAGAAAATAACATCGAAGGTCGACGTGGCAGAGCTCAAATTGAAAAACTAGGGACGACATCGATTTTATGATCACTCCTCCTCCTAAGTGCCTTCTCTATTGAGGTTGGCGATCAATATGGCAAATTTCTCTCTGTTCTGGGCTTGATTAATTAAGTCATTTCCTGTTGTGTGAGTCCAATCTCTGATGTTTCGGAGCCAGGATTTCTTCTTTCTTCCTATATCCCTTTTACCCTCGATTTTGCCTTCTAATATTACCTGGAGCTGCTCAAATTCCTTATGGCACACTATGTGTCCTAGATATGACGTCTTTCTAATTTTGATTGTATTAACCAGATGAGGTCGTGTGTTCATTATTTCCAGTACCTCTCATCCAGTACATCTCCAGTACATTCACATTTCGAATGAATTCAGTTTGTTGACGTCATACTGTTTTAATGTCCAGGTCTCACAGCCATATAGTAGTAGAGACCACACATAACACTTTAGTGTTCTTAACCTCATTGTGATTGATAGCTTGGGGTTACAGAGCATTTTACGCATGTTCATGAAGCCAGATCTTGCTATTTCAATACCTCTTCTAATTTATTTTGAGTAATCTAGCTGACTGTTTAGCTCTCTGCCCAGGTATATGAAGCTTTGGGAGCTCTGAAGGGTGATACCATTAATTTGTATGTTGGGTGTAATTTGTTCATGGGGGTTCTTCTGGAATACCAAGATTTTGGTTTTGGAAAGATTAATATCCAAACCTAGTCTGTGACTTTCTTCTGATAGTATGTTATGATCGCTAACAAGAGGCAAATCTTTAGAGATGTTACAGCCTAAACCAGTTTTCATCAGGTAGTAACCACATATTGATAAAAGCCTCGATTAAAATATATCTCGAGAAAAAGTGATAGAAGCTACAGAGGAAAGCCAGATGATATACCGCCAAAAGAAATCATATAACAAAAGAATAAGTCTTTACACACAAGCATTGATGAAATGAGGAGAAAAATGCGAAGTAGTGGAAGCAAAGAACACCATGTACCAAGAATAGTAAGTAACAAAATACCAAAATTTATAAGGACGGACAACCAAAAGGATAAAAGTGTACAAATATAACAAACGATTGAAAATAACAAGTGCCTAAAAGTTCTAAGGTGAAAATTAACAAACAAAAATAAAGGAATAACGAAATTAAATGATAAAAATGGAAATATCATTACCAAAATAAAGGAATTATTAAGGATAGTGATTTATATACAGAATTATACAGAAGTCAACAGAAACATGATATAGCAACCAACAGAAAATGCTTGAGTGGCGCCAGAGTATGGCACTGAAAGAAAAACAAAATACACAAGAATACACAAAATACAGTTGATCCCATGGTCCCACGACCAACACTGATGCTGCCTCAGGAGCCAACATATAATTCGCCGTACCAGGCCATGTTGGTCACATGTGGTCAACACCTTTTCTAATATCTGATGAGCCGTTGGAGCATATTCAACTATGTACGATTGTAGAACTGGACCAAAATGGCCTAGAATCTATATTCCCTACAATTCCTTAGATCTTTTTATAACGAGAAACATGTTTCCTATTGGCAGATGATCCAATTAAAGCGTATTACTCGCTTTATCATAAATTTTATTTAACAGATAAATATGTTTGCATAAATAAAATAATAATTTAAGATTAATTTATACAAAAAATAGTCATATCCTATTAAATTTTTATGAAGTTCATTACGGTATGCACAAAAATGTCTCGTTCGCACAACCTCTAATCCTCTACCCTCTATTACTAATCTACCTTTCTAGTTTTGTTCATTGAATGTTGGCTGACTCTTTACTGTTCATCTTATAAGTTTTTGCACATGTTTCTTCGTTGATGTTTACTTTTATCTGTTTTTTCTTCAATTTTGTGATGAACAATTGGTGTAGAAATTTGTTTATCTAAATTTATTGTGTGTCACCACAATATATGTGTGTCACCAAATGCTTGCTAATCTGCTTTAAAAAATCTGTCACTGAAATATTTTCTCCAGTTCCAAGCGTGTACAAAATATAAGAATTTAGCATAGATGTCTTAATAAAAATTCGAAAGTTACTTTCTTAAGTTGGTCAGATAAATCAACTGCTACTGGATCTAAAAGCGGCTTACCAAGGTCGGCGATATTGCGGACGTAAACGGACCAGCACGCACCACGCACCGTGGGAAGGGTCTCGTCCGTGCTGGTCCATGCTGATGCGTCCTATCCATCTAGAGTCGGTAACATCAAAGGTGCGGTACATGCTCGTGTGACGCGATCCTAGCGCGTCTGTGTTTTAACAGACAAGTGCAAGTCGTCTAAGTTTTTCATTCGCTGACACGAGTAGTTGTCTGTAGTGTTGTCAAAGTTGTTTTGCAGTTTTTTGCTGAAAAATGGAACGGACAAACGAAGTTGTTTTTAATTTTTTAAATTTGTATCAAGATGAACGAAGTTTATGGAATTCCACGGCGCCAGAACATAAGAACCGGAACGATGCATGGAACCGAATAAAAAAATCAATTGAGGAATATTACTTTTTCGATTAAAGAATTAAAAAAGAAGAGAGATAATTTAATGTCGACATACAGAAGGCAAAAAACAAAAGTTGAGAATCGATGGGAACTGATAGTGGGGCTGACGATGTTTACAAGCCTGAGTAGCCTTTTTATGATATAATCAAACACTACTGTCACGGACCTACGCAGACTGTCACAGACCGTAGGAAGAGCTCTGTCTGCGGTGCGATGTCGTCCGTGCTGATCGGCTGTCCGCGATGATCTGTAGAATTCCCGATCGTGGGAAGCCACTATAACATTTCTTTATGTCAATTACAAACTTGTATACCAATTGTCAGTTATAAGCGTCCTTCCGTGATGTAGCAAAGCTTTAATAAGATAAAGTACAATACGTCCTGTAGTGGCCTTCTGATTATTTGCTATTCCTACATACATTTCTAAAGTATATGTATATCCAATATCTGAACACACCTTAAACAACTTCACGCCATATTTATGTCGTTTTGATTTTATGTAATGCCTAAAGCCAAATATTTCCCTAAATAGGAAAAGTGTTCCATCAATGCAGATGTATTCGTTTGGAACATATTTCTAACGATTTAAAATTTCCCACTAAATTTTAAATTAGGGGCCTAAGTTTGTATAATTTATCAAATTGATCCACCAACGAATTATCAATAAAATCTATAATCCTCAACAAAATCTTAAAACTATTCCTTAACGTAACCTTCTTTTCAAAATTATTAATGAAATTTTTATCATTGCCCTAGTAGTCTGAAATTTTTGTCATTTTTTCCAAACCCATCCGTAGAAGTAATTCCAAAAATTTTCTGATTTCAGTGTTTGTTGTAGGAATCATAGAATATAATATAATATATATAATATACATAATATACTAATTATACTTAAGCAACTATATGCTTTTGTTTTAGGGACTCAACGACCGATATATACCACAGCCAAACCTATATATCAAGTACCTTTATGGAATACATCGTCCATTCACCGTGGTAAGCTTTTTTACTTATATATACACTAACACAATACCAATACTGTGACACTTAGGCCCACATTGACATGGCACAATTTTTACGATGTTTGATTTTATAATTATTTTAAATTTAAGTATATACTCATTACTAAATTATTGAAGGATATTTAAATGCAGTAAAATATCTTGAACTACTACGAAATCAAATTATTCCTGCACTTCAACTTCTTCAAAACCAACTTAAACAAAAATTGGTTTCTACAAGTCGGTTATCCTTCACATAATGCACAGACCGTCAGAAACTATTTTGATATAACTTTTCCTGGACGTGAGATTAGTACACAAAGTACAATAAAATGGTCCCCTCGGTCACCCGACTTAACTCTCCAAAATTTTTATTTTTGAGGGACAATAAAGACCAATTTGTACAGGCATAAATTCCAGCGAGCTACAAACCTAGAGCAACTGAAATAAAAGAGTAGTTAGAATAGTATATTTGATTTCTGTTTGGCACATAGTGGTTGTTTGTTTGACCATTTAATTCGACAAGAATTTTATTTGGTTTATAGTTTCCAATTTTTTGTTTTTTTTTTTAAATTTCGGAATAAGTTTCCGAATTAATTTTTATTTTATTTTTATACAAGTTTAATTTTCGCCTCTATTGCTTCGAAAAATAGGTAAGCAAAAATATGGATATTATTTGGAAAGTACTAAATAATGTATTTTTCATTCAAAGACGTAATTTTTCGCCCATCTACATCTTAACTGAGTATATTCTGCTATAAATAATAAGTCTGTATCAGTATATAGAGCAACATTTAATAAGATGAGAAACGTATTATGCAGTAGAGACCTTAGTTTGCAACTCAAAATAAGAATATTACGTTCATATGTTTTTTCGGTACTGCTGGAGGTGATGGAGGCCTGGAACTTAAAGAAATAGGTGAGCAATCGACTTGAAGCATTCGAGATGTTGACCTACCAAAGAATATTAAAAATAAGTTGGGTACACCGAATAACAAATGTTGAGGTCCTGAGAAAAATGACAAAGGAAATGGAAATTATGAATACGATTAAGAAAATAAAGTTACAATATCTCGGCCACGTTATGAGACAAACCATATGCAAGACATTGCTAGAAACCATAGGAAAAATACAGGGAAAACGAAGCATTGGAGGAAGACGCATCTCCTATTGGACTAACGCTGGCGTTGGGGCTAACGTTGGCGCCATGTGTGGAGCCGGTGTAATGAAACGCTACTATATATATATATATATATATATATATATATATATATATATATATATATATATATATATTATATATATATATATATATATATATATATATATATTATATATATATATATATATATTATATATATATATATATATATATATATATATATATATATATATATATATACATATATATATAAGGATCACTCAGACGAGTGGTGGGTTCTTATATCGGTCTCTAGGTGGAGAAATAAAAGACAAAGTTGATAGGCTACTTTATCTATTTTGAAGACGTTTCGCTTTCGAGTTTTGAAAGCATCATCAGTTCATCTAAAAAATTATTACAATATGAGAACCACACAATCATGGAAACGATGTTAATTGTTACCTTAAAAAGATATGTAGCAGTCAATGTTATTAACAATTTAATAATTTAATAACAATTTAATGCATTAAATAAGAGAACTGACATAAGTAACTTGAGCCAGATATATCATGCTTTAATTTTGCAGAATTAGGCTACTTAATCTTTTCACTACATTAATGTCATATTAGGTGTACTAGTTGAACTTTTTTCCACTTTGCATAAAACAATTTATATACATAAATAGAAATAAAATAAATAAATATATCAATTAAATAACTTAATTTCTTTACTTAATTTTACTATTACATATGCAACCCATATTGCATTTCAATACACTAATTTCTTTAATTAGTGTTTCAAATTATATATAAAATAATACAAACATTGTAATTGATTCATAGAATCCTTTACAAATCACAGCTCCAAGTATATTGAACCTTGGGCTGTTTGGAAATTATAATATCGTTAACCACCTGGCTATTTGACTTGCCATAATGATTAACGTCATTACATTATTATGAGTTTGAATGAAAATCTCCGGTTTGTAAATTTGGGCTGGTTAGTGAGGGGAGTTGTGTTTACACTACCAACTTTTTTCACTGTTGTGTCCTTTACAACCTGGTAGTCATCCAGACTCAGTTAAAATTAAATTTACCGCCCAAAATTTTGGGTTGGTATTTACACCTTGTTGATCTGTCAAAAGTAATTTTGACCTCAAGGTTGGCTGTCTTTTTGCGGTTTAGTTCGTTCCTGTTTCATCTAACGCCATTTTCACGGCGACATCCATAGGGCTTTGATCGGTAACTTCATATTCACTATTTTTTAGAATTTTATTAATATTACTTATAATGCTACCTAAAGTTAAAATCAAAGTTTAATATCCATTAAATAGTTGGAGGTTATTTATGATTTTCTTGGTTCTTTCTCACTTATTAACATTAAATAACATTGAATTTATTTTGGACCACATGGTCAATTGCTGTGCTAATTTTTGTACAAGTTCATATATGTTGTTAGTTGCTTAACTGTTTATACAAGATCAGCGTATTATGTCCATTTACTTAGTTTCATTCACATATTTGTTAATAACATTGACTGCTACATATCTTTTTAAGGTAACAATTAACATCGTTTCCATGATTGTGTGGTTCTCATATTGTAATAATTTTTTAGATGAACTGATGATGCTTTCAAAACTCGAAAGCGAAACGTCTTCAAAATAGATAAAGTAGCCTATCAACTTTGTCTTTTATTTCTCCACCTAGAGACCGATATAAGAACCCACCACTCGTCTGAGTGATCCTTATATATATATTGGATTGACGGTCGTACTCCTTTTTCCGATATATACATATATATATATATATATATATATTATATATATATATATATATATATATATATTATATATATATATATATATATATATACAGCGAGTGTTTGCAATTTTAATTTTGTCGCTTCTCGCATCCCAATCGCCATAATTTCTTATCGACCCAGTCTCCTTCTTGAAGACCTCTATTTTCCATTTCTATATGAATATTGGATATCCATTTCTTTCTTGACCTTTCCCATTTATTTCTCTGTGTAGGTCTCCAGTTCCAAACCTTTCGTGGTATCCTTTCTTCGTTCATCCGTCTCAGGTGTCCATACCATTTTAATTGTTTTTCGGCTATCGTATCCATTATTGTGTTCTTTACTTTCATTCTCTCTCTTATGTTTTCATTTCTTATGTGGTCAAACAAAGTTAACCCGGAACATCTTCTCCAGTACATCATTTCCGTTGAGAGGAGTTTTTGTGACATATTCTTGTTAAAGACCCACACTTCTGACCCATACGTCAGCACCGGCTGAATCAGCCTGATATATATTTTTCTTTGTTTTCTTGGTTAAAGTTTTATTCCACAGGATCGGATGCAGTGTTTTTATCATGTTTTTTCCTTTTCCTATTTTTCTTGTTATATCTTTGTCGTCTCTCCCGTCTTCGCTTAGTGTAACTCCGAGATATTCGTACTGATCAACGTTTTTAATTAATCCGCTTTCTGTTTCCATGTCTTGACCGATGCCTCCTATATTCATGTATTGTGTCTTTTCGGTATTAACCTCTAATCCCCATTTTTTGAATTCGTCTATTAGTTTGTTTATCATGTACGTCATATCTTGTAGGTCCTCGGCAAGAACTACCTGGTCGTCTGCGAAGAGGATTGTGTATATAGGAGTATCATTTACCCATATGCCCACGGGGCTGCATTTTCTCATCCAATATTTTAAAGCACTACCAAGATATATTTTAAATAGGGTTGGGGAGAGGCAAGAGCCCTGTTTGACACCCTTTGTTTGGGTGAAACCCTTGGAAATTTGGTTTCCAACCTTAATATAAGCTTGGTTATCTTAATATAGCTTTTTCACGGCATTTATATAAACTGCATTTATACCTGCGTTTTCCAATGTTGTCCATAGTCTCTGCAGTGGTACGGAGTCAAACGCTTTACTGAGATCTATAAAAGTGGCATGGAGTTCTAGTCCTCTTGCTAATATCTTTTCCGTTAGATGTTTGAGAGTAAATACATTGTCGACACAAGATCTCCCTGGTCGGAATCCACTTTGTTCTTCGATCTATGTGGCTTCTTTTTCTATTCTGGCTTTCAGAACTCTTTCATACAGTTTGCCAGTGGATGACGTAATGCTGATACCTCGGTAATTACTGCAGTCATTCCTGTTTACCTTTTTGTAGATGGAGTATTTGTACGAGACTTTCCAATCTCTTGGGATACTTTCCTCTTGTAGGCACTTGTTAAACATTTTACAAAGCAATTCTAATGTTATTGCAGTGGCATGTTTGAATAACTTGTTAGGTAAATCACCCGGCATAGGAGCTTTATTATTTTTCATTTGTTGTAATGCGTTTTTTATTTCTTCTACGGTAATCATCGCCACTTCATTTAACCCCGTTTCAACTCTATCTATCTATGTGTCTAGAAACTGTGTACGTTGTTCATTTAATAGATTTTCATAATAATTTTGCATCTTTCGATGTCTATGGGGTTTTTTTTGTTTCGTTTGTATTTTTTCTAAGACTTTTGATAGTTTTCCAAGCTTGTCTGGACCTAGATCCTCCTACCATTGAGCTTATTTCTGCACACTTGTTGTCCCAGGTTATGTTTTTTGTTTTTTTTTAATTTACTTTTTTACTATATATTTGTATCTGTTATAGTTCTTTCGGTCTTCCTCATCTTTTGTCGCTAACCATTTGAGATACAATTGTTTCTTTTCTCCTACCAGTTCTAATAAACCTTCTGTCCACCAATAATTTCTACGTTTTACTTTTTCTTTCGTACCTAGAGCTTCTAATGCTGCTTCATGAATTTTGATTTTCAATATGAGACGCTACTACTTAATCAATTCTTCCAGATTTGATTGCCTTAGAACATTTTTCAAATGCTAAAAAAAGTCAAATAAAAATAATAATTTTTTTAACAATTTTTTTAAAATTTTTGGAAAAGTATTTTAAACTAACATTGCTATGTCGTTTTAAATATGTTTCTTTCATTTCCCCGAATTGTAAGTATACACTCACTTTAAATTATTTCCTATACAGTATTATGTTTTTGTTGTTTTTTTTAATAAACAGTTGATATTATTTATCTATATCCATACACGAATCTTCATCTTTGTAAATGCAAACCCAGTTTGGGTTTCTTCGAGATCTTCGCATTTGCGCCTAATTCACTTGTAAATTATTCTTTTCAAAATCTTGAGAGAGTGGATTTCATAATTACTAGACCACCATTATAAGTTTGGTAGAATTTAGTATTATTATCTCTGTCATAGTCAAACAACTCTAATATATAAAGTTGTCAGTCTACTTTTTATTTTTAAATATGCTGCTTTTTAATTTTACTTTTTATGCGCATGTTTCATGTCATTTGTGTGATTTAATCATCGAGTTAGAATCTATTTAATCATTGTTTGTGAAAATTTCGTTAACTTGGCTTTTAAATTTATTCCATAGTTCCTCCGAACTTTTAAGTTGTTCTTATTCTATTTTTAAATTCCTGTTTAATGTTATCTTTTATGCTTACACCGTCAAAGTTAAATACTTAATTTTTTTGTTGTTGCTGAATTCGTTTTAACCTTAATTTATTATCTGCCACAAGAATTTGTCGATCACATCCAATATCTGGTCCTGGAAATGTAGTTTATCACCATACGAGTATAATTACGTTTTTACATAGGCTTCACTGTAGTCGTTACATATATTAAATCCTCGATAAGAAAAGCAGATAAAATCACTTTCAGCATTGGCATTTTTTAAGGGACGTCAAAAAAACATGTAAACAAGTCAAATTATATTTTATTTGGCTTATTTTATGTAACTATTGCTATAATGAGGTCATAACGATGTGTTGAAGTTTTGCTATTATATTTAATGGCAAACTTATGTTTTGTTTACTTAAGGTAGACGTATGTTTATAGTGAATCAAATTATAAAGGATAATAATAAAAAAGGCAATATTTCTTGCAAAATTTATTTAATTGCAAAATTTATTTTTAATTCTATTTTAAAAAACATTACTTGGAAAAGTTCTACAATAATAATGTTCTGTTAAGAAATGGAACAAAACTATTTCGATAAATATGTAGCCTTACAAAAAAAAAGCAAATATTTTTTACTTAATTATTTTATCTTTTAATATATTCTCCTGTGTTAGTTCAGTCGTAAAATATTTGATATCTAAAAACGAGACAAACAATCTAGATTTTGGTGTGAATGTCAATTTTGGCACCCCAAAAAGATGTAAAAAAATTTGCCGCTTCTACCCCCGGGCTTACCCCCCCAAAAACCACACAACGTAGGGAGGAAAAAGAATCAATACAACTCGATTACTATGTGGATTGAGTAGATCAGAAGCCGCGTTCACCCCCCACAGCCAGTCCCAATCCCGGATAAAAGATGAGGGTTGATGGGCTTGGTTAGTATCATACCCATTGTAAATGAAAACAAGGCTCAAAGAACCGATATAAAGCCTCGAAACCAGACGTAACCTAAGATGACGAACCACGTAAAGAAAAGAAAAACGAGAATGAAAAATAAGCCCACAATTGGAACATTACTTCTTTCAACAACAAAGACCAAGAGATAATAGAAGAACTGGTAAATAAAAACATAGACATTTCTGCAATCCAAGAAACAAAGAAGAAATGTAAAGGCCAAAGAGACTGTAACCAATATTTTCTAGCATACACTGAAGTGAAGAAAGAAGAACGAGCACGAGCCTACGATTTATGATATTATGAAGAATAAAGGATAAATTGAAGGGTTTATAAAGTCTGTTGAAGACAACCCTTTAAACAGAAAAACCCTCAGAACAAGCGAGTTTCCTGAGGTGGAAGAAGCACTGTTTATTTGGTTTAAACAACAACGCACACGGAATATCCCTATATCCGGAGACATACTGAAACAAAAGGCTCAATGTTTCTACACAGAAATAACGAGGAAAAATGACTTTCGTGCTAGTCATGGATGGTTCGAGAATTTTAAAAAACGCCATGGCATTCGATTTATGAAGATGTGTGGTGAAAAGGTGTATGCTGACAGGTCTGAGATTGATGCCTTCATTGAAATGTTAGACAACAAAATTACTGAGCTTGGTTTAGTTCCTGAGCAACTGTACAACGCAGATGAAACCGGGTTGAATTGGCGACAGCTCCCGGCAGAAACATTTGTAAGTGGCGAGGAAAAAAAAGTTTCAGGAAGGAAATTGCAAAAAGAACGACTCCCTCTTATGGTGTGTGCGAATGCATCAGGCACTCATGCATTAAAACTGCTTGTTGTAGGAAAATCAAAAAACCCTCGAGCATTCAAAAATGTAAAGGTTGAATCTCTGCCAGTAACTTACAAGTCACAAAGTCGCGCATGGGTGACAAAAGAAATTTTTCGTGACTGGTACACCAACAGCTTCGTTCCACAAGTTAAGGCTGAACTAAAGAAGAACAAGTTACCTATGAAAGCCCTACTTTTACTGGATAATGCACCAGGACATCCTGATACTGATGAATTGAAAATCAAAACTGCTGATGGCTACATTGAAGTTATGTACCTACTGAAAAATACGACAGCTTTAATTCAGTTCATGGATCAAAACGTGATAAAAACCCTCAAAGCTCACTATAAGAAACGCATTCTTATGGATGTTGTCAGTCAACCTGATGCTGATATTCCAGCGATTTTGAAAGCTTTTAACATTAAAGACGCCATTTTGAATGCTGCGTATGCTTGGCAGCAAGTAAAAAGCATAACACTGATAAAATCGTGGAGAAATGTATGGCCTAACAACCCATGTCTTACAACGTATAATCCTACATCCAACAGCGATTCAGAACCCGTTTTAGAGGCTACATTGGAACTTTGTAATGAAGTGCAACTTGCCCCCGCATCGGTTGAAGAGCTTAGAACATGGATCATAAAAGATAACCTTGATGCTGACATGACAGACGCAGATATAATTCAAGAAGTGACAGCAGTTGATGACAACGTGATCGAGGACGCAGCGCCAGAAAAAACCTTCACCGTCAGCTGTGATGAAGCTGTATCGGCAGCTAACACTTTGGTACGTTGGTGCCAAGAGAGAGATGTGGACATGAACAAGATTTTAGTGTTAAAAGGTTTGCAAGAGGCAGCAATGGTGGACTGTTTTCAAAAAAAGAAACAGAAGGCAATCACGGACTTTTTCAACAAGTAAATACATATTGTGCTCTTTTTTGTATGTAGTTTTAAGTCTATGTACATAAATTAAAATGTTGTTCACTTTATTCTGTGTTTTTAATATGTCCCTTGAATTTAATGATGAATATATACGTTGTTTAAAATGACGGTTATATCTTTGTGGCAATCATATTCATTACAGAATAGCCATTTTCCATAATCCGACATTTTTGGTAATCCGACATTACGTCGGTCCCGAACCTGTCGGACTATCGAGGGCGAGCTGTACATACAAACATACAACATACAAGAAAATTAAAAACAACATTGAAGAAGCAGCAGCAGAAATTCTAGGAAAACTGAACAAAAGAAACAACAAAAATACAACATGGTTTAGAAAAGAAATAAAAGAGAAATGTAAAAAGAAACGAGAGGCCTACACGAAGTACAAAACATCACATACTCTAAAATCCTAAGACACCTATAGAAGAATACGAAATAAAACAAAGCAGTTGGTAAGAAGAACAAAAAATGAACACTGGAAACAGTTTACAAAAAGGATGAAAAGCCACTTGTACGGTACACTAAAACAAATATGGAGATTAATAAGAAACCAACGGAAAGAAATGACAGAATTGAAGGAGTACAATAACATACCATCAAACCAACGGGAAAGATACCTGACGGAACTGTTTAAAGGAAAGGAAAATAATAATCAACACAATAACGTAATTTGAATTAATATACGAAATAGAAATCAATTTTTATGAAGTAGAGATAGTCATAAGTTCACTCAAAAATATAAAGTCACCAGACGGAATAACAAACGAGCTTCTAAAACACGGAGGATAAAGTAAAACCCTAGAGGTGACAAAACTTATACAAAAACTAATATTGTCGTACATCTGTACATCAAGCTCTGTCCCATAGTGTCTTAACATCAATTTTTCTAAGAGTTTTCGATTCAAGTGATTCAAGTACGTAAAAACTAGTAAGTTTCTTGTTTAGGGTCAAACACAGAACCTTAGCTTTATGCTTAAGGTTCTGCGTTTCATCACAGTTATATTTATCATTCTCTGAATGCCACCACCAGCTTTCAACTTGACCTGCAATGAAATCTACTAGTTCTGTCCTTATCATTGAACCATAATATACTATACAGCGTAAGGTAATTGGAATCTGGACACCAACAGATACCTAGGGATTTGTAATATCAAAAGCAGACGTATTTATAGGTCCCTCTTTATTGTTTAATTTTCCTAAGTACTGAAAGATACTTTTGCAAAATGATAAAAAAAATTTCGTTTTATCTCAATGTTTTTCTATTTATTTATAAAACAGTTCTAGTATGTTGCATTTTTTTGTCACGTAATATAAAAAATTATTATTTACACCAATTTTTTTTAAATATTTTAAATTTTTACTCTAGGTCCTTCGATAAGAAACGGCAGCATACATGGAGGAATTTACCAACCCCCAGCAAGTAAGTAACCTAAATTTTAAATATTTTGTAATTTCAGGTCATAGCTATAAAATAAAATTTGTATTTGACGTTTCGGCTTTTACATTGGAACCCATTCTCAGAATACATTTTTTAATAATGTTTAAATATTATTTTTTGATAAAGATCCCTTAATCTTCTTTCTTGGAGCACTTTATACATATACTTCATCTAATTTACTTACCGATGCACGTCGTTATCATTGATAGAGATCAAAGTTGACATAGTTGTCAAAGTATAAAAAAAATCCTGACTCCATTTTAAATCAAATAAGCCACATAATTATTGCAAAAGTATTACCATCTCTTTACAACGACTATTTAAATTCTTATGTTACATTTTTAAAATAAAACAGACTAATTTTCTTTTAATGGCACAGATTTGGTTAAATATGTAAAAATATAAAACAAGAGGTATTCACTTTAAAATGCAAAATAATAAAGTACAAAAAGTGTCAAAACTGCAACTGTCAAATAAGTGTTACCAATTTATGCCAAAATTTCACCTTCGTTCGATTACAGTTACAGTGTGTTCCGAACAAATGTTCTTTATAAAAACGCTTTATAATGCATCTATACAAATTAAATGAAACATATTATTGTGTATTTCTTTAAGTTAACATTAATAGAAATTTTTAAATATTATTTCTACGCGTATATAATAAAATATCTCTAGTGGCTGTAATGCCAGTGTACTCGGCAAAGTGATTCTAAAAAAGAACACACCTACCGCCTAAATATTTCGTGTTGGTATCATGTGACGTCACGGGCTATGATGCCGATGACGTGCACCGGTATGTAATTAGATGAAGTATACACTTCTGTCGGTACAACTAAACCTAAAATAAGGAATATTACACAAATTAATAATAAACTCACCAGGAATCCAGGTTGATCCGCGTCGATTTTTACTACGCCGAGCATATGATACCCTCTTGTTCCGACTACGTCGAAGTTGCCATACAAGACGTCACCACCACCAACTGTTCTAATTATTTCGACAAAATGTTCGAACTTTTCAATTTTACAGAATACAAACGGGTCCCAATACTACTACTAAGTCCACTCTACCTTCAGCCATATAAAAATCTTTTATACTCAGAGAAAAGTCATTACGATTTACAAGAATATACGGCCTGTCAAAAATCCATAATCCTTATGTCTCCTACGATCCATCGTCAGTGCATACAACTGTCCTACTCAGAAATTGGTGTAACATCTCGCCTTATCCTTACTGCAATAATCGAAAAAACCTTGTCCTTTGTCAAAAATTCTTTCATTTCCATTGATCTTCTGAAAGACATTTCTAGTTCACCCTTAGATATACTAGTTACTTTGATATTTTTTTTATTCACGAACATTCATATTGAGGAAACAATTTTCATCTTATACTTTAAACATCTAATCCCCTAAGACACATTATTTTTTATAAAACTTACTTTTCATTCCAAAGTCAATCTATCATAAAATCAAAGGTACCCCAATGGGATTCACCCTCTCTTCCATAAAAGCTGATATCTACATGAAACATTTCGAAAGAACAGTCCTGTAAATATTTATTCTCAAACCCACCTGCTGGTTACGGTACGTTGATGACACCTTTGTCATTTGACCCCATGGTAAATACACATTAGTTTTCTTCTTCTCCCAATCTGAATGGAATACATTCGTATTACGTACAATATTTTTCTACATGTGCTTATTATGCCAAAAACAATCTAAATGGATTCATTACTTATGATTTTATGAACTTTTTAATATAAATTACATAGATAATAATTGCTCTCATGGATACATTACTAATGAATATTAACTACACAGTTATGAAAATTACTTATATTAAAATCATTCTGGTTATTGCTTACGCTAGAATAATTTCTCTATTTATATTATGTACTTTTTATCATTGCTCCAATTTTGACATAAATCAATTTGGAGTCATTTTCACTACTGATACATATGACTATCGTTGTCATTATAAAAATACAAGTTCATATTATTATTAACTCTTCATTGATGATTTATATGTATTTCATTATGAATTATAGTCTAAATTTGGCTACAGTATATGTTTATTTCTAGGTCGCAGAAATACAACCTTAACTGGTCATGGAGTAAATCCACTCTATCCAACCCAACCTGTGGTACATCCTCCACCTTCTACGACAGTTATCAATAATAACAACCACTATTATCAACCTGGACATTACGCGCCACCGAGTACAGGACCTGCCCATATTACCATAATAAATAATAACAATTACCACCACCAAGTGATACCACCGACTGTACATTATCATAGTTATGGACCTCCTCCAGTCGGTATAAGTATTACTACTCATAATTATGATCCGTTGGCTAGTATGCATTATCACCCGACTTATCACTACTCTACTCAAGATACTGGAAGTTCCGCATTAGGTTTCTTCTTGGGCTACCAATTGGGAAAAATAACTCGACCAAGTTATTATTATCACAGTACTTCATACGTCAACAACGAATACGTGCCCAGATATGATCATTATACTGTTCACCACTATTACCATAACAGCGAGGCAGTACCAAAAGAAGCACCTATTCAACCCAACGCGGTGGTTGTTTGTCCTGGTGATAGTAGTAATATATGTCCTCCTGGCACCTTGCCATTCTGCACAAATAACGGCGTAGTCATGTGCGTCGTTAACGCTATAGACACTTCTCCTTGCTCTACAAACAACCAACTTAAGTGTGCTACCTCAACAATATCATGTGAGAATAATTCTTCACCCGAATGTAAACAGAAATCATCTACATCTGTGTCTATACCTTGCGTATCTACTGCTACTATTCCAGCCGGAGTGGGATATGTAAATAATAGTCTGATTGTAACGGACACCAATGATTCTTCGCTTAAAACATTCTGTGTTACGGTTTTAGCTACACCAACTAAAAATGAATCAAAATCTGGTAGAAAAAATCAGTCAGTGGCGCAGATTAATGAACCCTTTCATTATACTACAAATCACACTGGTGTTGACTTATTAGGTTATTACTTGGGCCACAAATTGCAAAGTCTAGTGCAACCTAGTTTTTCTTTTCTAAATTATGATCAAAATTACAACTTTGTTGAAAAGTTTGATCATTACAATGTATTCCAATATTATCACGACGCTAATGTCTTACCCAATCAAGTAGAAATTAAACCAGATCAGATTATGAGCTGCGCTGGAGATAGCGGTACATTCTGTCCCCAATACACTGTATCTTTGTGTCTAAATGACGGTGCAGTTATTTGCGTAACTGACAAAACATCGACAACCTTCAGTAACGAACTTCAAACAAACTATATAAACAGTTCTATACCATGCAATAATCTTAAATTTCCGTTTTGTGTGCAGAATCCTAATGCAACGGTTCCTGTTCAAATCCCGTGTTTTTCTACAGCCAAGGTTTATGCAAATGTCAGCATTATGATAAGAAGCTATACTGCAGTTAATGAAACTCAGACTTACAGAACCTATGAGCTATCAAATGTTACCGCAGGCGTTGCAGCACAAACTATACCTACACCTCGTGAACTTTGCGTGGGCATTTTAGTGTTACCAGGAGAAAAAACTATTTCTAAAGTTCCAGAACGTAGAAAGGTAGTTGGAATTCCTAATGCGCCAAATTCTTTAACGTTACCAAACTATTCATATAAAAATTTGGGTACTAACACTTTAGGATTATACTTACAGTACAGACTACAGCTAGTAGCTTTTCCTACGTACTATTACATAAACGCTTATTTGTATAGTGAAAGCGGCGTTGCACAACAATTTGATCATTATTCAGTACACTACCATGAACATGGCAACGAGGTTATACCTACTAATCTAGAATTCCAAGCATTTGACTTGCGTGCATGTGAAGGCGATACTGGTCTAATTTGTCCAAACACTACATCTTTAATTTGTCTTGGCGACGGTGGAGTGATGTGTTTAACAGATATGTTATTAACAAAATCATGTAGCAAAAACAATACCACAAGGACATTATGCACGAAAGCAACTCTAACATGTGAAAAGAATAAACCATGCAGCAAAATTAGCAAAGTTAAAAAGATCGGTATACCTTGTATATCTACAGCTACCATCTACGGCGATATTATGACAGTTAGGCACAATATTTACAAACGTACGCCTTCATTATCCAAACAATATACCGATATTCAAGCAGTGCCAGGTTCAAATGTAAACAACACACCTGTCTATCATAAGGCACAACAGTTTTGTGTGTCCGTTGTTCTTTTACCAGAAGCTAGACAAATATCTGAAGGTGAAAAAGTGATCGAAAGCTCGGACTCCCTATTTGGCAAAATAGCCTCTAAATTATTTGGTTCCTGGTAAAGTTTTACAAACTAGATATTTTCGTATATTTATTTTGGTATAGTACATCACACAGATATTTTTGTCCTACAAACTGATCGCCAACACCCTGATAATTTATAATTATTAGTACAAAGTAACTTTTGTAATACGTTTTTCTTAAACAGTTGTTTATTCTGGTGTTAGATAAAATCGAATATTATCTTTATTCCTGACCTTTTATTTAAAAGTGTATTTTGTGATAGTACAAATAATATTATACACAACAAAAAATTTTTGTTTAATTAAGTAGTTCTTATGAAATAATTTTAATTTGTTATAAATATATTTGTTTTTAAAATTATCTGTTTTATTTTAGAAATAACTAATACAGAGAAAAGTTTATACTTACTGTATTTTATCAGAACAGACCTTGCGCATATTTACCAAGAATACTATCTATAAAATTGAATTAATATTAAATATTAATAATGTATGGTCATACTTTATTGGTATATTACGAATAAGACGAAGACCAATTAAATATGTGTCTAAAACATTAACCGAAAATAATACCAAGAAGAAAAACACTGATGCATAAAAAAAGTTTATAAAAAAAAGCAATAAATTTATTGCTTTCTGATAAAAATATTTTTATTTTTTTTTCTCAATGTATATCCCTTACTCTCTATACACTCACAATTATGAGCGTCTTATTTATAAGTGATATTATAGTCTAGGCAAGATCTGTTTTGGATTGGACATTTTCCATAGGAAGCTATTTTTTTGCTGGAATCCCTTCAGGATGTGCCTAATATCGATACTCACGATATGCGCCAGTCGCAAACCCTGTGCTAAATTTTTTATTTAACAAAATCTGAAAAAAATTTAAAATTTCTCATTTTTTTGCTCCTATTTTCGTTTATAATTTCGGAAAATGTTGATCCTAGAGAAAAAATTATACAAAGTTAAAAGTTTTGTTATTCAATTTTACACAATATTTCGTTAGCTAGAAATTAAAATTTTAATGTTTATTGTTGAAAAAATAGCAATAATAAAAAAAGTACAAAAAAATAAAGTTAATCCTTTAAATGTTTTCGACTTTCTAAACTTGACTTACAAGCTCCATAAGAGAAAAACTTTTTATTATGTTTAAAACGTGTGCAAAATTTTTGTTCAGATCGGTCGGAGAGGTTTTGCATATTAAATTTTGCAATACAGCCTACTGGAAAAAATCGCAAATTTTCAAATTTATAGTAGGCCCCAAATAAGGCCCTCGGATAGTTGCAAATTTTTTTACATATAAAGGACGGCTCAAACTTTCAAACGCTTTTTGTAAAATTCAAATCGGTTTACTAGGAGAGCTTAGAAATTTTTTTTAAGTTTTAAACATTTTTTAGGCTTATAAACAAAGTGATTAACTTTACGAGCTTTAAACATGTCAATTTCAAAATTTATACATTTAAAGAACATAAAAAGACGCTTCTTTAAAAAAAAAACTCGCCTTGTCAAGTACTTTTTATATGAAAATTTTTACGTAATGCGCTTCATGGCAAAATACAAATAAAAAACCGTTTTTGCGTAAAATGTTGATCGGAATGCATGAGAGGTGGTGGTGGGGGACATTCACTCCAAATGTGAATCGGCTAGTTCAAAATCATAGCGAGCGCTAAAAATTGCATTATCTTGGCTTCGTGTTAACCAATTTTATCTTCACTGCAATGGTCAGACATGTAAAAATATTGAACACAGTAAAATATTCGAAGAAGTTGAACGAGATATGGATATGGAGTCGATGGAGTCCTTAGATTGTCTAGAGGCACAAGATAAAGCTACAGATGAAGGAGAAGAAACATTAAATTTTCGGATCGAGGATGAAGATATTGAAATGGAAAATAAAGGTTTAGAGGAAGAAATGAGACCTGAAGATTCTTGTCCTTCCAAAAAAAGGAAAAGACTTAAAAAAATGATTGAAGATTGAGTCAAAATAAAGTTTATTTATGAATTTTTTTTTTTCGTTTGCCTTTTTTTTAACATATTAAATTATTTATTAACAATTTATAAATACATATTTGTTTAGAAAAAGTAACAATTTACTTCAATGTATAGTTTGCAAGCTCAAAAAAAAACAGTTTCGAGCATTACACAGTAGTATAATAACACGTACAATATACACGCCATTTTCGAATTAAAATATATTCTCAAATCAAATAATGTCATTATTAAGATAAAACTGCAGAAATAAATTGATTTGATTTATACAAAAAAAAATCGTTCGCCTTTGTTTTAACAATTCAAATTTTTTATTAACAATTTATAAATACATAGTTGTTTACTTAAAGTAACAATTTACTTCAATGTATAAATTACAAGCTCAAAAAAATACATGAAGAAAAAATGCTATTACTTGTTTAACATACAATTGTTTATTGCAAATTTCCCAATTTACGATTAAAAATGGTATTTGAAAATATGATATTTGAAATCCTTGTCGTCCGAGACATCGATTAAAAAAAAGAGCCGAGATAATGCAATTTTTAGTGCGCGCTAGGATTTTGAACTCGCCGATTCACATTTCGAGTGAATGTCCCCCACCACCTCCTATGGATGTTGCCATGAAGCGTATTACGTAAAACTTTTCATATAAAAAGTACTTGACAAGACGAGGGTATTTGTTTAAAAACGAGCCCTCTATAACTTATGGTTACACGGCAAATGTATGCCAACTTTGACCTTCAATATCTCGGCAACCAGTAAGCCGAATGTATCTTTTTTTTTAAGAAGAGTCTTTTAATGTTCTTTAAGTGTATAAATTTTGAAATTGATATGTTTAAAGCTCGTAAAGTTATTCAATTTGTTTATAAGCCTAAAAAATGTTTAAAACTTTAAAAAATTTTCTAGGCTCCCCTAGTAAACCGATTTGAATTTTACAAAAAGCGTTTGAAAGTTTCAGCTTTCCTTTATATGTAAAAAAATTTGCAACTATCCTAGGGCCTTCTATAAATTTGAAAATTTGCGATTTTTTTCCAGTAGGCTGGATTAAAAAATTTAATATGCAAAACCTATCCGACCGAACTTAACAAAATTTTCACACGTTTTAAACATATTAAAAAGTTTTTCTAGGCGGAATATGGAGCTTTTAAGTCAAGTTTAGAAAGTCGAAAACATTTAAAGGATTAACTTCATTTTTTTGTATTTTTTTTTTCAATAATTGCTTTTTTTTCAACAATAAACATTAAGTTTTCAATTTCTAGCTAACGAAATATTGTGTAAAATTGAATAACGAAACTTTTAACTTGTATAATTTTTCTCTAGGATCAATATTTTCCGAATTATAAACGAAAATAGGAGCAAAAAAAATGAGAAATTTTCAATTGTTTTCAGATTTTGTTAAATAAAAAATTTAGCACAGGGTTTGCGACTGGCGCATATCGTGATTATCGATATTGGGCACATCCTGAAGGGATCCAGCAAAAAATAGCTTCCTATGGAAAAAGAAAGGTGACATTTGCACTAGAAAATAAAATAAAACCAAAGAACAAGCAAAATCAATATAAAAAAGAAAATGAAGTAAAAGATGAAGAGGAAACAAGTAATGAAAATACTAATTTTAAATATAGTGATGGTATATGGTAACAGTATTGGCAAAATAAAATAAATTTTTATGAAGACTAGAATTGATGAAAACTTTTTATCTCTTGAATCCAAACAAAAAAAGAGGCAAACAAAATAGTATAAACATGTATGTGAACAAAAACTTATTGCCTAGCCATACCACCAATATTATCCATCGTTACCACATCTTGTACTGCCAGAGATTGTCGTTCAGAACTTGACGTAACTGAAGACGACAATAATATTTTACAATTAAGGGTCATGACTGAATACTTGATAGGAAGGGAAAAAAGTACCTGTTTTAACTGAAAACCGGTTTTATCGGTTGTTTTTTTGTCCCGGTTATAACCGGTTTTTAATTTTAAAGTAAAAACCGGTTATTAGGTTTTACGGTGATTAGATTAGGTTAGGTATTATTTTGGAATCCCAATCATAAGATTATATCTCAAGTAATTATTCAAACAAATTCATAATTCATATTTTATTTTATTTTATACATACAGAAGCAAACTGAAAGTGCAAACTCACATCAGCCAGAAACAATTAAGTTTTATTATAATATTTCATTGAAAAGGTATTTATTATAGTAATCATAATATTTACATAAGAAGTGACCTAAATAATAAGTTCAATGACAATAAATACCGAAATCGGTTCAGCGCTCTCTGTTGAGCAGTAGTATATTTGATAATAATCAATAAATAATGTAATAATAAAATAATTAAGAAATATATTGATATTGATGTTCTTTCGATAGTACTAATTTTGATCACATTGATATCGAGTCGAATGAAGTATCGCAAACTTAAAATGCATTGATAAATGTAACGTTGTAACCTATTGGATTAAAAAACAAAAACCGGTTTTTGGAAAAACCGTTTTTTTTACCGGTATAACTGCCAGTTAAAACGTAGGGTATAACCGCCAGGTTAAACCGTAAGCAAAAAGACAAGTATAACGGAAAACCGGTATTTGTCAAAAACCGCCATCCCTAATACTTGAGGTATCTACAGGACGTGAAGTTTTTACGTTTCTAATTACATTAATTTTCTAGCAATACATACTTTCATAAAAATACTTTTAACAATATTTTAAACATAATTTTCCCATTTTATCCTACAACTTTAATTTTTAATTAAATATTTGTAATAAACTTTGTAATTTTGAAACTTTGCACCAAATGAAATGTGTTAAAATTATACCAATATAAACTGAGGAAAATGCCACATTCGCAATTTTGAGACAGTGTACCAAAACAAATCGTTTGATTAACATAAAAAGCAAAGTATCGAATGTGATTTTTGGAAAGAAAAAACAGTAAACATTTAATTTTTTTATCAATCTAACGAGAATTAAACATTAAATATAAAAAATATTACAATTTTTCCATTTGTCAAAGCGCTGATTTAGGATTCTCTAAAAAAAGATATCTTGCTCTCCTAAAAGTACTACTTTTCACTTGATAGTTGAAAATAGTAGGGACGATATCTGCGATCAGATGATGGAGTGTTATAGAACTTTCTTCAAAACTCGCAAATGGACATTAAAGGTAATCCTATGTTTATTTGATTGTTAACAGTTGGATGGAATACCGTCGCGACTGCCGAAGTAACAAATACAAATCAAAAGATATTAAAGATGTATTATCCTTTCGCTTAGAACTAATAGATTATTTATTATGTGGAACGAAAAGTCCAAATACAGAAAACGGGACACAGAAGATAAACATGAAGACCCTCGTC